TTTATGTTATGACTTCCTTTTTACATAAAGCCCCATGAAGCCCTTATGGCATCAAAACCAGACTATGCAACATGTCTTTTTTTTGGGGGGGTGAGATAAGCACCATGCACTACATATTTCACAGCAGTTTGCACAACGATACCGGGACAATCTTTTGACATCTGGCTTTTCGCAGACTTTTTGCAATCACACTCAACAGGCCCTCTCCGAGTGCCAGCCCTTTGGGGAGAGCCGCTCCCGCTGCCTGCCAATCTCCACGCACATGACTGCGGGGCTGCTAAAGATGGTATTTGCAAAGGGCTGCTGCCAGCTTTCACCAAGCAGCTCTCCGAGCTAACTGCTCTGCGTCAGCGCAATTTGAGTGCGTGGAATATTTTCACAGGGCTGTGTTTTGATGAGCAAATACACTCGGTTGCATTAGGAGATATAAACATCAATGAGGTGAGCAAGAATATACAGAATAAGCTGGTTTTTTTATCTGAAAGATCTGAGGTGTTAAAATGGATTAGATTCAGTACTATGTATTATGACAGTAATTATGCTTTTTGTACCTATGGGAGCTTTGAACTTTACAGGAAAGCTTCTTTCCTTAAGAAAACAAAACCATAACTTGTTGCAAGGGAAACAGGATTTTGCAGTCTGGTGAATACCAGCAGGTTCCTCACATTAGTGAATTGAATATAGCAAGTCCTCCCTTTCAGTGAGAACTACATCAGTATAAAAAGACTGTAAAATTGCATGACTGACTGTTCGTTTCTAATATCTTGCATGTGTAGACATGACTGACAACCAGTTACAAAAGAAAATCATGGTAACACAATTTGAATCTGAAGTTGTCTTATGTTAGTGTTTTAAGCCACTAAATAATCTGGTAAAAACTAGGAAGTTTGTATCACTGAAACAGAATTCACTGGCAAGTAACTGCTGGTTATTTGGAACATTACAGATATTCCAGACATGTGCAGGAAATCCTCAGCAGAGGCTTGTTCAGAGGTTGTTCACCACGGAAAACAATATGACATCATCACGCACTTAACGGCTTGGCCGTGACAGGGTCAGCTATGTACAACTGTTGAGCATTGTCCTGTTTGTGTGCACCGATAGTGCTACTCAGCATTACTCAGTGACAGCATGATAGAGCTAACTGGAAAACAAACTTGCTACTATCCAACTTTAGTTCATAATTTTTGAAAGACACCAATTTTTATAAGTAGGTCTGCCTTTTTTATTCTCCCCAAAACTACCACAAATTTCTTTGCTGGTCTGTGGGCAATAGATACCCCTGAGAGCCGAGCAGCACTGTCCTTAAGTGCTGACTGTTGGGTCAAACGACCTTCTGGGGGACTAAAAGTCTACAAATTGTTTCTGAAAACTGTCTCTGAAAATGATCTGCTTCAGTTCACAAGTCTTTTGGCCTAGGAATCTCCAATTTGGATGAGTTATTTGAGATTTTGTTCTAGCATATTTCAGCAGAAATGCCTTGTCCTTACTGAAGTCAAGAAATTAACCGAGTTCTCCACAAACAGCCCTCCTGACTCAATAACACTCCCTTTTCCCAGAAAGCTAAGACTCACAGTTTTTGCTAAAAACAAATTAACAAGAATCTTTCAAAGAGATTTTATGAAATCTCTCTAGTTTCAGTATGGTGAATTCTGTTCCTAGCCAACCACATGCTGTTGCTGAAGGCAAGTCATACTGCACAGCTGACTATCTACTGCTACCTTGTTTGTACTTCCTATTTTATCCAGAATCCCCTATTTGATAAAAAGCAAGTCAGAGAAACTCAAGGTCAAAGCTTCCCATAGCAACAGGTGATGCATTAGCTCTATTTATTTCATTGCTAATTCTATTAGTATCACTTTGTAATAAATGTTATTTTTAAGTAGAATCCAGTTTAGAAATTTTATAGCTGAGAAAGACAAATTCATATGCACTATCAGACTACGTCAGTTGAAAACGATTGAGGACTTCAACACAACACCTTATATCAACTTACATGCTGGGTTTCATGTTTTTAATCATAAAACCTAAGATTTTAACCCATTCTGTCACTATCTGGAGCAGATAAACAAAATGAGTGTTTTGTAGCAGAGACTATCGTGTTGTATTTGAACTTCTAAACACATGTAGGATGCTCACACCTGACCTGAAGTTAGCCAGTCAGCATGGAGGTCTGCTCCATGATCTGATCAGCTGCAGCAAGAGGGAGATCAAGGTCAGCTGCAACTCACAAGGAATGAGAAAAGGTCGCCAAGAGGGTTTCCAAGGAATGTAATCCTTTACCAGGACACTTTAACGAAAGGAAGTATTTAATGGAGTCTGCCCAGAAGAGCCAAGTAACACAGCTAGAACTTATCTTGAAGGTTACTGAACACAGCAAATGAGATGCTATTTATTTAGATTACTGTGTAGCCTGTATGTATGAAGATACAAGGCTCTGAATAACAGTTGTTGAACTTAAAGACAAACAATATGTCACATGGAAAGACACAGCCAAGACCCCCTCAATTTAACTTTCAGAAAATGAATCACCTAATGACTATGCACCAATCGCTGAGCATTCAAAAATACTTTGAGTTCGTTTACTGCACTTTTCTTTCAAGAATTTGGTTAGTCTATTGGTTTCTCATGATAATCAATCGTTCAGCTTTCCTGTCATGGATTGCCTTCAACGTTGTACCTCTCACAAATGGTCTTTAGTTTTACCTTAGTCTTTGCCTGACCTGTGTTAAGTAAGATCTAATGTTGAAAAGCACCACATAAGTATCAGGCACCACAAAGATTAGGAAAGGAAAAGGAATCAGCAAGGTGGACAAAGGCGCTCACAAAATGCATGGACAATATCACGAAAGGTAGTCTTCAAAATGAGAAAAACAAAAAAAGCTCAGGGCTCAAGGAAGTTAGAGGAAAAGAATGTTAACAAAGGTCTTACAAAAACCAGCCCCTGTTTATGTATATCCATTAAGTCAATGGAAAATAATGATAACAAATAGTTCAACATGTTCTATCCAATTTCCTTCTTCTCATACCCTTGTTAATGTAACCAAAATTCTTTCCACTACAGTTTGTCTCAGAAAACTAACAAAAAAAGAAAATCATACCTTTCCTGGGGGTGATAGAGAGAGAAAAAGGCAAAACAAAGCAGGGCTGCTAAAATACTATAAGAAAAGATGCCAGGAAATAAAAAGCACATGCCTCACATACACATTTCCAAGTGAAGAAACAAACCATCACCGCTAGCAAACTTCAGGATAGCACTTCAAGGGCTATAGAAATAATAGGTATCTGACACCCCCCAACTTCCCAGGTTTCTAAACAGATTATTTTTACCTTTTCATGCACAAGCCAAAAAGGATATGGACTTCATAGTGAAAGCAATGAAGTAGGCATACTCTTGAAATCAAAGAAATCTAAGCCTTCTACCGCTTCCCCCACAATAGTCATATTTGGGACGAGAATCGATCTAACAGGTTAGTTTTAATGATCATAGCAACTATAATCTTTGTAGTTCATCAAACAAACATGAGAGATACTTCTGGACTTGCTGGAAAAACATGTTTTTTAAACTCTGGATGCCCCAGTTTTAAAAACTTGATAAAATACTGTGTTTGTTGATTTAATGGAAATGAACAATATGTCGACAATTTTTAAAGGGTGTCCCATTTGGAGCCTCACAGTAAGGAGCACAAAAACCTTTCTAAATCTACTTAATCACTATGAACTAAGAGCAACTGGCAGTTTGATCCGAATTGCTGACCAATTATTCCTATTCGTTCCTCTTTTGCCTTTCTTTCAATGTATACAGAACTGCAGGCATTCAACACTTGAATCACACATTTTAGAAAAATTCACAGTTGGGTCTGACAGTCAAGAATGAGTAAAACATTCTATTTTCTGAGATGATAGTTCCTGGAAATAAGCACAATAAATAACAAAATCAGCTACAGATGGACCAAGAAGTATGAAAGTGCTTTATAGCCTACTCTTTATGGGCTTTACACTCTTTAGATTTTCATTTTTATTCATTGTATTTTTATTGTTTAGGACTCTATGGTGTACAGATATGGATCACCAAGAGATTCCTATCATTTTTTAAATCAGACTGGCTCCAGAGCCCTCCAAATAGGGCTCAAATACCTTTTTACCTGCTGTCTTGCTTTCAAGAGTGGTTGCACAAAACAACAAACATTCAGGAGACCCATAGGAGACCCATCAGAAGCCAGACAGGCTTTCTGCTGGTAATTCTGTTGGTAATTTCACAGTGCCAACCCCCAGCAACTTAGAAACTTGGCTTTCCTTTCACTTGTGTCAAGACCAAAGCCTACTGGACACAGCAGAAGAAACCTGCTCTGATCACTCGTTGATTCAGTCATCAGTTGCACAAGGGAAATAACAGTTTCACAGAAATCTTGTCTAACAGTTTGGAGATGACTGAGTGGGAATCTTCTCCTGAGAGGAATTAGTCACTGGAAGAGGGGGCAAGCTCACTGCATGTTATTTGCTCATTACTGCAACCATAGGGTTAATAACTTGCATGTCAGCTATCTGTCTTTCTGAAAAGCTGATTTTTCTCTTAGAACCAACAAGCTAAGATACTGATATTAGAATTACATTGTTAGCATGTCACCTATGTCAGTCATCTTCTCAAACACATATGCACCAATCTGCACTGTTTATGACTCGATTCATTTCTCTTGCATATATCTTCTTTGCATTTGCTAATACAAAGAGTTAAAACTCAGGTGCTCTGATCATAACGCTCAACTCTGGAAAAAAATTGTAAGTATCAACATTTTGCAAGAAGATTTTCAGGTGCCAGAATCAGCATGCAACATCTGTAATCCTTTGAATTGCTTTTAAATCACAGACCTTTAATAATGTTCCTCCAACCCCAAAACAGCAATGCGGAAACAGTATTTTTTCAGATTCTGTGTGGTATTTACCTTTTCCATCACATAGACTTATTTTACACCCGTGTTAATACGGGAAGCTCTCCTCACCTTTAACGTGGCAGCCAAGCTGGCCATGTGTTCATTCAGAGTGCTCTCCGACTCCTTGTAAGTCAGGCAGGTGAACTGATATTCCTCCGGATCAAAGGCATCCGCTCCCTGCTGCTCCACGTCGTTAGCTACCCCGTCATAATAATCCTCAATATCCCCAGGATCCTCATCCTCTTCCTCCTCCTCGCAATTAGGGTCATAATCCTCTTCATTGCTGTCAGAGCCCTGGCTGTTCATGTCCACGGACATCTTAATGCCCTGTCAGCTGCAGGCTGGGAAAGCAACTGTAGCTTCTTTTTTCTCCAGACTTTATCGTTCTTTTGATTTCATCTGAGCTCTGTTTCCTAAGGAGGGGAAAAACATTTTTTTTTTTTCTGTTGCCTAAGCAATTGTAAGAAAGGCCGTGTCAGCACCACACACGCGATCTAAAGCCAGGAATGGACAGGTCCAACAGCACAGTTAAAGAGGATTCTGTCAAGCAGAGGCTTGGTTTGCACCCACAAAGCCAGTGCTGCTCTTACAGACAGATGTAAAACCTCCAAAAGTAGCTCATTCCATTACCCTAACCGTCTCCCCCCTACACACAAGGCCCCCAAATTTCTGTCATTTGCAGAACTGCTTCACAAGCTCCACTACACAGCTTTTCCAAGGTAGACCTATACTCACGATACATAGGTTCTTTTATCAAAAGCACCATCCACATTTCATCAAAATAAATAAGTTAAAATTTATCAAAGCTCAGCAGGAACCAGAAAAGCTACCTGTGATACCCTGTACAACCACATACTGCTTCAGAACCACAGAAATCCCATCCAGGACCTTGGGAAACAAGAGCGACAAACATATCTTTCTCTTGCCCTCTGTTTAACAGCTCAATACTATCTCAAAGGAACAGCAAAATCAGTTCATCCCTTAACTAGGCACTGCTGGATGTGATGTGGCTTGTGCATTATGTTTGAGAGGGAAAAATCAAATAAATTCTCATTTTATTACCTCCTCCTCAATGCTGGCTCCTCCTCAATGTACACATCTGTTACCTTTTGAAGGTACAAATCTATGCTCAAGAGCTGTCAGTTTCTGTTTAGAAGGAATCAGAACAGTCAAGCTTTATTATTACTATTTTCTCTAGTAATAGAAAAACCATCTATTTGACTTTACATAACCAAACTACACACCTGCTGATTTAACTAAAACTATACGAATTTGATTCTTTAAGAGGTTCAGCTGACAGCACACGTCAACTCTGAATTATTGTCATCTCGTACTCCGTCACAAATTTATGTTTGAAAAATTAATTTTGTTTCAAGAGAGACTAACTAGGTAAGAGTTAAATTATCACACTGCAAATAAGTTTTACATATAAAATATATTTACCAACTCAAAGCTGTATTTCCCACAAGCAGCACATGTTGTGTTTGTTGCATATATGTGGCTTTCTGCTTACTGTTGACACTAGCACTAACATTTTAATATATGTGCCCAGTGTCACAATTGGCAGCTGCTGGAGAAACCATAGTCTGACTTCAAGAAAAATAATGAAAAAATATGCTGGAGATTTCCAGGGCTCTGAACTTGGTTTTCTGGTTCTAACAGACAGACCAGCTGTCACAGGTCAACCAGGAAGAGATCTGATACATAATTAATCTGTGGGCTGCATTGGTTTTAGCAAATACAGGCCTCCTCCTGTAAGAAAGAATGAAAGTTAGAAGTTAATTATATTATCCCTTGGTCTCTATTCCTTTCACATGATTCTTGATTTCTTTTACAGTACAGCTTCCTGTCAAACTTTACAGGATCGGAGCTCCTACTCTCCACTTTGGAAGACAGAAGTGAAATCTTAGTGAGCCACTTGCCCATCCGTGACAAGATGAGTTACGGTAGCAATGCCAGTCATGTAGATGATGCCATAAAGCTGCCAAGGGAATTATTTTTTCCCTCAGGTTAAGAAGCTATCAAGTCCAAGTAACCTACTTCTGCTGTTGAGAAATCACTCACACAACTGCTGCCTAATGAGAGTCTGTATCATACACAAGCCCATTCACAGATAGAAGAAAAGCCAGGGTTTCCACAAATGGAAACATTCAGATAGATAATCAGGGGAAGTGGCAAACATGCTCCTACAAATACACATTTAGAAAAGATGGTGCTTCTGATCTGAAAGGTTGTTGTACGTTGCTGGCTCTGTTGCTACTCGGGGTTCAGCAGATCTCTGCTCTGCACTTCAGCATCACTGGTGGGCTCTGATTTGACAAACACAAGGCAAACCTGTTTTCTCCTTCCCTCTAATCTCCTTAATGAATCAGTTTGCATTCAATCTGTATCACTGCTCACTTCATTCACAGAAGTAGTAATGTTATAAGTGTTCAAAGGAATAACTTATTTGAGAATTGGAATGAGTCTAGACATTCCTACAAAAGAGATCAATAGCCTCATGTGTGACAGCTTTGTTTGGCCAGCTGCAGAGCATCACAAAACCAAACAGGTATCACCAGTTAGGAAAGTTCCTGTACTCAATCAGGCCATCCCACACGATGGAGATGGGAAAAAATCATGTTTAATGGATGATCCATTTACTACCTCAACACACAGCAAGAACCATCAAAGTAGTGAGATATTCTCAGACATCTGAGCAGAATAAGGGGCTTCCACAACACCTAATTAGTCACATACCAGTCTCTGCAGAGAAGAGGCTCAAGACAGAAGGGCTCTGAGAAATTCTTTTCAGCCTTTTTTTTCTGGGCAACTAACCTACTTATATAGGAATTGTTTCCATGGGCAAATTAACAGATCAATGAGAAAACAGTCTGCAGACTGGACGTCCTTTGTGAATAGGAGAGGGAGATTAAGGCAAAAACTTGCTGCCAAAACAAAGCAAGATATAAGGAGAACAAGACAAAACTCAGCTATTTTTCAGCCTAAGGCCCTCATTCACGAGCTCTCTGGGAACACATTAACAAAGGACGTACATAAAACTTGGTATCACTAACTTCTAAAACAATGAAGATGATAAATCCATGAAGGTCAAAAGAACAAGAAATACTTAGATAAAATAAACTGCCATAATCTTAAAGATCAGATTTAAGTTTATTTTTTTCTACTACATTTAGTCGGTTCTCCTACTCAGGGAATAAGGAGGTCCTACTTTACCACCATGATCCAAAACAGGTCCTCACTCTCACTAACACTAATACAATCTAATCCCCTTTCTTTCCCTGTACATCCTTGCAAGAACTCTAATTACATCCACTCTTTTCTGCTCTACCAGAGAGGCCCTCTCGGCAATTCCCACAATCTAACTCAACAAGGTTTGCTCACATAAACACCTTCAAGCATGCGACTATCAGCCCTTCCTGATCTCACTGCTCTTTGATAATAGGAAGTTACACCACCCCACACAGTATTTTGTCTCACCATCTCATCCTTTTCTGATGTCTTATCCTCTGTATCTACTTCTCTGGGTCTTCTCAGACAGGTGTTTTGGAGGGTAGCTCCTTTTCTATTTTTTCAGTGAATAATCTCATAGCCATCTGAGCTGGCTTTGTCCCCTCTCCTCTCTTTACTAATGATGTTAAAATTGAGAGAGGATAACTCAAGTCTGATTCCCAAGTCACTTATCCACACAACCTTTAAACATCCTGACACTCTCTTTCCTCCAAAACCCTTTACAATCCCAGCTCCAAAGTTCCTACCGTTGTTAATCGCATCTTTGCCTATGCCACCCAAGCCTGTAATCCAGGCATCATTCCCAACCGTGGCTTCGCGCAAACACCGTGCACTTTGTCATTTCCTTCTGCGCTGAGTATTCAGAGGACTCTTTCATCCCCAGACAGAGCTGGGCACATCACCTCCCACCCTTTTCTTCGTCCGTGATCCTGCAGGGACCTCTTTGCAACCATATCCCACCACCCCTGCCAACGTGCCTGCTCTCCCTCCACTTTCCAGTGCTTACTCTGACTAGCACAATTCCCTCGCCTTTCCCTCCTAGTCTAAACCGTTCCACGCCTGTTCCTTCCAAGCTATTGATACTTCCCAGCCCGTTATTCCCCACCCCGAGCCCTCCTTCGCCGGCAGCTGCTTGGGGGGCCCGCCCCACGTCGGCGGAGGAAGGCACCGGGTGAGGAGGACACCGCGCTCATTTAAACCACCTCGCACCCGTTTCCTTTGCAGCGATCACGTCCCGGTGCCCGCACGGGAAGGCGGCGGGAGGCGAAGAGGAGAAGCCGGGGCAGCGCGGAGAGCCGGGGGTGGCTGCGCGCAGCGACACGAGCCGGCGCGGCGGCCGGAGGCCCCGCCGAGGCGCGCGGTGCTCGCGGAGCACGGGCTCCCCCGTGGGCAGCGGGCGCCGCTGCGGCCCGGGGCGGCCCCGCCGGTAACCGCCCCCTCCCCCCCGCACTTACCGGAGCGGCGGAGGCGGGAGCGGCGCCCCGGGCTCCTCCTGCCGGGCCGCCACTGCCTGCACGCCGGAAGCGCTGGCCTCCGCGCGGCGTCACTTCCGCTGGGCGGCGCCGCGGGCGCCCCGCCGCGCTCGGGCCGCACCATGGGGGCGGGGGGGAGGGGGCAGGCGGGACCATTCGGGCGGCAGCACGGGGGCGGGGTGCGGAACGAACCACCGCGGCCGGGGGAGGAGGGGGTGTTGGACCGAACCACCGCGGCGGCGGCGGGGGGGGGGCTCCCCGCGCGGGCCGCCTCCCACGGCGGGGCGGAGGGTGCCGGGGCTCGGGCGGAGCTGCCGCCACGGCCCTTCCGCGCGGGTCTCCACCGGGACCGCCGCTCTCCCGGCGTGCCGCGCGGCCTCACTGGGGTAAAGGTCGCGGCGCGGAGGGGGCGGCGCTTGCTCGGCGGGGACGCAGCGCCCGGTTCCAGTCCCCGTGTCGCTCGCAGCCCCGCCGCCGCTCTCCGCCGCCGTCATGGCGAAGCAGGTGCAGCCCATCAGCCCCGTGAAGAACTTCTTCGCCGGCGGCTTCGGAGGCGTCTGCCTGGTGTTCGTGGGGCACCCGCTGGACACCATCAAGGTGAGGGGGCGGCCCGCCGCCCGCCACACCGGGACGGGGTCGCCGCCGCGGAGGCGCCCGGGATGGCGGGGAGCCGGTGCGGGACTACAACTCCCAGCATGCTCAGCGAGCGTGCGCTGTAAAGAACTACATCTCCCGGCGTGCTTCGCGGGGGTGTATTGGGGGGGACTACACTTCCCGGCGCGCCCCGGGAGGGCGGGCGCCCCCTGCGGGCGCGGCGGGAGCGCGGGCGCCCCCCCGGCCGCGAGCCCTGGGAGCGGTAACCGGTCCGTGGCGGGAACCGGTCCGTGGCGGGAACCGGTCCGTAGCGACACGTCCCGGCAGCGACGCTGCTGGCGTCTCCCCGCACGTACGAACCATTAAGCGCATTACAGCGCCAGTCTCGTCCCTGCCGCCAGCCTGTACTGCCATGAACCCCGCTCGCGTAGCCGCCGTCCCCGGCCCGTTTAACCCGCCGGTGCTCGCTGCGCTCTCCCCGCCAGGTGCGGCTGCAGACGCAGCCCAAGCCGCAGCCCGGCCAGGCGCCGCTCTACTCCGGGACCTTGGACTGCTTCAGGAAGACGCTGCTCAGAGAGGTACCCGCGGCCTGGCGCCTGTCCCCGCGTCCCCCGCCGCGTCCTTGGCTTATCACCTGAAATCAGATTAAATTTTCTTTACACAACTCCCTTGGGTACCTCCTCCTTCCAAACGTGGGTCTTGTTTTGCTCTGTGAAGAAACGCTCATGGTCCAAGATACCGTGGTGTTAACGCGTGAAGCCAAAGGCCGGGGTTGGCGTTGGCGGTTGTTCGACAGCCTTGTTGTTGTAGGGGGAGGAATCGCCTTGTCTTTGGCATTGGAAGCCCTCCCTGGAAGCCCGAACATAGGCAGTGACTTTTGGTAATAAAAGCAATATTTCTAATTTCTTCAATAATATATGATTATACCATTTGTGAAAAGGTGACTAAGTGGAAGTTTCAATTCCTAGCATTTTTTTTTCTTTTCTTTCCTTTTTAAATTATTTTTTTAAGGGTCAGAGGGAACATTACGGAAACTTTGTTTGATCTTCTTCATCAGGTGGACGTTGGCTTCCGCTCTGTCACTCCCGAACCAGCCCATATCACGTGAATGAACTATAGTCTATTTTTGTTTTTAGAAAGGCACGTAGCCGTGCTTTAAAGCCTCTAAGTGACATAGAATCCACTTTGCTGCTTGGTAAATTTTTCCAGTGGCCATTTAACATTTCAAAACAATGGGTTGGAGCCCAAGTGTTTATTTACTAATACAGGGTTTAGTTCCTAACCACTGGATCCAGCTGAGTCACTCCTTCCTGAAGGGAAGAACCATCTCGGATCAGCAATCCGCTCTTGCAATATAACCTAACCAGAGTAAATCTCTTTTCCCTGCTCTCTGCCACAAAGCCCTGGAAAGCTTTAGTTGCTCGTGCTGTTTTTCAACACCCCTCCTTGAGCACGAACGTCAGCGCGGAGCTGTAATAATAGTCTTGTGAAGTGCAGTTCAGACATACCGCTGCCTCGCCACTCCTACTCAATACTCCTCTGTTTCTATAAGGAAAAATACGCTGAGCCTCTCTGCTCAGGCCTTTTGCTTCCTACTGCTCGTGGGAAGATTGAGCTGGCGTGTCTCATCTATGTCAAACAGATAGGATTTCATTCCCCAGCCTTTGGTGCCTTAAGCTTTCAGGCATATATTGGGACACGCTGATTTGGGAGTGTGGAAGAGGGGCAGAACATGTTTAATTTGTGCATCCTGCCTTTATCTAGGAGGATAATTCATAATTCTGCTTTTAATTAAAAAGAATATCCTCAGTTGAAAGGCAAGATAAATAAATCCCACTGCTAGGGTGTGTATCACACTTTGTCCGATGATGCCTTTTTTCTTTTTGCCTTTAATCTAAAGGGAAACATCAGGGCTGTAAAGCTGTGTCGTAAAAAAGTTTTGGCTTAGGGAAGGAAAGCAGAAATAATCTGCTCTTGAATTTAATCCCAAATGGAGTGTGTTTGGGAAGTGGGGGAGTCCAAATTGGTCTCCTTGACATTGTCCTTATCTAAAGAATGAATCTGATCCAGCGTTGTCAGGCTTAACGCTGGGACTTTATAGTAATGGTGCATTTGATTACTTCTTTGTAAAGCGCGTGTGCATTTGTGTATGCATTTGAGAAGACTTTGGATGTAATCTAATAGGACTATTGTTCGGGTGGCTTTTAACTTAACTTCCTTATATTAGAGGTGTAAGCAGAGGAGGCAGCACAAACAGGAGTGGAAGAGAAGGCTGAAAACGGTGCCAGTGTTTTCCAGGAAGTACAACCTTCCTTTGCAACAGGTCCCAAGTCTCAGCTAAATGTGCACCGTTAAATGTACATCGTTGCAAGTGAACAATAGGCCCTATTATTCCCCTAATTAATTAAACTGCCTGGCTCTGACTCTGGTGTCATCCTGTGTTTTCAACTTTTGCTTCGCGGTAAGTTGAGATGCGTGCAAAGCGTTGTGCAAAGCCAAGTAATCCTTGTGATAACATTTCTTGCAGGGAGTCCGAGGCTTGTATAAAGGAATGGCAGCTCCTATCATTGGAGTGACACCCATGTTTGCAGTTTGCTTCTTTGGTTTTGGCCTGGGAAAAAGGCTCCAGCAGCGAAAACCTGACGACATTTTGACGTGAGTTGCTGTGTAATTCAGACACTTGGGAGAGGCACCCTAAGCCTACAGCCTGCTGTGTTGTCGCACGCTGAGTTGTGGTGTAAATTTGTCTCTTCTCCTGGGCTATAAATATAGCTCTACAAAATAAAACATGGGTGTGTTTTAATGCTCCTGGAAGCGTGGGACTGATAGCACAGGCTAAAAACAGACAGCATGTGGGCAAGTGCTCTGCAATTCCCTTTCGACGCAAGAAGGAGCCATTAAAAAAATTCAATTTTAGATGAGTACAGTGTGAGTTATATAATGATTGCTTGAGAACTGTTTCACTATTAGCAGAGAATGTGGAAGAATTAAATCCATAGTTGAGGAGTCGTGACAAAATTCACTCACAGTTCCCGATTCTGCTTTCCCTTCTGTTATTCTCTCTCTGAATATAATAATAACCCTAGAAATATTTCACGATTAATGTCTGAAAAGCGGTGCTTATGAGCAGCCCAGCTCTGTGGCACCTCTAGCCTTCTAGAAAAAAGGTGATTCTGGAGGGTGAAGCTTTTCTCAATGCCTTTCAACCCGAAGGATGGCTAAATTTTCTATGAGAAACTCATGAAAATTGGTGTCTCTCTTCAAGTTAGCTTATGCATAAGGAGAGCACCCCACCGACCACTCTGACGTACTCCCTTTCTTTGCAGAATTGTGAAATACGGGTCTAGAGAAACAGAAGTGAAGCGTAGCAACACGTTACCCTGGTGCTCATAGGGGGCACGGTGTCTCTGCTGGAGGTGCCCGGGTGGCCCAGAGCAGAGCTGCCCCTGCATGGAGGGGCAGTGTGCCCAGGTGCTCCAGCGCTGTTTGTTCACCTCTGGTTTACCAGCAGAACTGACCTCCTCATGTGGGCAAGGCTGAAGCGGGTAGCAAATAATGCAGGTAGAAGGAATATTAACAAACACAGTAAATGTGAAGAGCTGAGTTACGGTTGCTGTGGGAACGGGGCTTTGAATCCTGAAAATCTTAAATGTTTAACTCTAATTGTGCATTAAATGAGGCTCTTCTGCACTGTCGGAGGCAGCGGATGCCTTATTTTCCTGCCAGCCTTGTGTGCGGCAGCACAATCTGACAATTTGGTGATCTTTCTGTCCTTCATTGCCTGTGTATTGCGTTGCATTGGGGTCTTTTCCATTTTCTCTGAGCAGATATCCACAGCTGTTTGCTGCTGGCATGTTATCAGGAGTGTTCACAACAGCAATCATGGCTCCAGGAGAGAGGATCAAGTGCCTTTTGCAGGTGAGACATTGGATGGTGCTGTGGGGATTCAGTTCTAGAGCTCTTGTCTTCCCAATCCAGAGCTTCGTTGGTTAGTGAGTTTACTCTGCTCTGTTTTTTGACAGGACTGAGACAACTGTCATTTAATGCAACTGTGTCACGAAGAAGCATTGTACAAACTCACCGTGACAGTATAACTGCACAGAGCCTTCACTGCTCTAGTCACTTTACAGAACACAGGCAATATGCTATGTGACATTATACGTGGCATCAGCAGATGCCTCTGTCCATTTTAAAATAAGGAAAAATCCAAGTTTTCAGAATGAAATTTACTCTAAAGACATCCAGACTCACTAGATCATGGGACTCTTTCTGTGGTAAAGATTTTTTCTATCATCTTCCCATGTTCCCAATTCCTAACTGAGGGATGTATCTCAAAATACATAGAATAGTGTTTTTAGTGTTTACATTACACCACCTGTAGGGGTTGTAAGACACTGTTATGAAACATTTAATGTGAGCAAATGAAAATACTGTCTTTGACAGAGATGGGAAGGTTTGCTTGTATCACACTAGCCTCCAGTGTGTTAGTATGGAAATGGATGTTTACACATGAGCTTTGTCAGACATGACATTATAAAAATTGTTTGATTTTCCCTAAATTATTTAAAGGCCAAGTTTGACAGTGTATGTGTAAAACTACCTAATTGACTTCAGTTGTTTCAAACTTACACTAGGAAGAATAAAGGGAGAATCTAGCCACTGTGGACCACTGCACGTGTCCTCAGCTTGAGTGGCAGAGAACTGTCTGAGCAAATGATGCAAAGGTTTCATCTGCAGGAGTGCCTGTGGAATGAATCTGTGCCCCTTCCTCTGGCAAGGGGCACGTTTCTAATTATGAGATGGATGATTGTTCACCAGCCAGAAACGATCACTTTAATCCTCAGATCCAGGCAGCTACAGGTGAAGCTAAATACAGTGGCTCCCTGGACTGTGCGAAACAGCTGTACCGTGAGGCTGGCATTCGAGGCATGTACAAGGGGACAGTGCTCACCCTCATGAGAGGTAACTGATGGAAATGTTCTGGTGCTTCTTCTGCATGGGGTACTTTAAAACAAGACTGGCGTGGTGTTGTAAACCTTGCTGGCTGTTTAGCCTGTTAGAAGTGCTTTGTCAGTTGTTTTTTCCCCCTTTTTTTGCAGTCTGCAGAGCTACTCCAATGCCTCAAAGGGACTGAAAAATAAACATGAGATTCTTGGGGAGTGAGGAAGACATTAGATGACAAGGATTCAGAGGGATATAGGAACTAATTAAAATCTAAGAAGGCAGGAGGAATCAGAGACTTCAGACTCTTGGTCCCCTCTGGGAAAAGGACTGTGACTACTGCTGTGGTTGCCTTAAAAGATGCAACAGCAGCAGTGATGCTTTCTACCTACTTGAGTTTGGCTTATTTGGGAGTGGGATGGCATGTCCCCCCTCCTACAATAACAGCAAAATTGTTATTGTCATGCCAGACACTAAAGACTTTCCAAGCATTGATTCTTTCTCCTCTGAACCATGTTAGATTTTTTCCTGTATTGGGGCAGTGTTTTCAGAGTAGAAGCTGAAATTCCTTTATTTTGAGATTCCAGTTTATGAATTTGTTCTACCCTCTGCTTTCCAGCTAGCAATTTAACTCACACAGACGGTGTTTTTAGCCGCAGGCTGGCTGTGCAGTTCAGGCATGAGATAAGAACGGACTGCGGGAGTATGTTAGAGCAACGACAACCCCAAAACATCTTTATCAGAACAAGCAACATGCCGAACTTACCCTTCCCAAACTGCTTGATGTGCCCTGCACCATCTAAGAAAGCTCAGCTCATAGTTAGCTTACTGGCTGGCAGCCAAGTTACAGCCTGCTCAGAAGGGCTGCTAATAGAAGTGCTCAAGAACAGGTATTTCCCCAATTCCTGCCATTCACACCTGCTCTCCCTAGGAAAGATCAGGCTCCTGTGTGCAGAGCAGCAGCAACACGTTGTGGGGAAGGCTCAGAAGAGGAACCTGGGTGTGTTTAGCGGTGCTGCTGACGGTGCAGGGCCGCTTCCCTATGGGCTTTCCTGCTCCTCACGGCCTCTGTTGTTTACCCACTAGACGTTCCAGCCAGTGGAATGTACTTCATGACGTACGAATGGCTGAAGAACATTCTGACCCCCGAGGGAAAGAGGTTAGTGAAATCCCCAAATCGGCCCTTCTCTAGGCTTTCTCAGACACTGCTGATTAATGTCCCCAGTCAAGAAGTGGTTTTGAACAGTGGTGTGAAAATAACCCCCAAAAAAGAGAAAATTGTTATCACTGGTTTGCCCTGAGAGTTGAGCTCTTCTGGTCTGGCGTGAGCTGACAATTAAAAGAGTATTTTGCGTTTCTCACAAATTCTAATCTTGAATCTTGTTGGCACAAGGAAGAAATGCTTGGAGTAGGTCTCTCTGCTCTTTCACCCCAGTGTGTGCAAGGAGCTGATTTCCTTGTTTTGCTTTCTTTTTGTTGTTCTCGTTTATTTCCACAGCATCCTTGTGTGTTGCTGCTGAATGAAAGAGTTCGAGCCTTTAGGGAGGAAAAGACACTTTGCCCAGAGCTCCCTCATTCTTGGAATTGTGGCTCAGATACCGCTCTGCTTGTGCAGGATTTTGTTGCCTCCTGTCTGTCTCTCTAATTGTCAACCAAAGCCCTGCCTCTTTGGCTGTCATTTGAGTCAACATATATAAGCTTTTACTTTTTTTTTTTTTTTTCCTTCTTTTCCCTTCTCCTCCCATCCCACCCCACTCCAACCCATCACAGCGTGAGCGAGCTCAGCGCGCCTCGGATCCTCTTTGCGGGCGGCCTGGCTGGGATCTTCAACTGGGCGGTTGCCATTCCCCCCGACGTGCTGAAATCCCGCTTCCAGACAGGTAAGCCGGGTGGCCACACACGTGCGGCGCCCCAGGGCACCCCTGGGCACCCACGGGAGCTGCCCCAGGGCATCAAGCGCCACTTGAAACAAGTACATAAAAAATCCAAGTGCGTTTCTAGCTTTTCAGCTGTTCTCCTAGTTATTCTGTGGCAAGTTGGCTGCACTTCTGCAGGTATCTTGCCTGTTTTACACTCTGAATCGCTTTGCTGTTTCAGTTCAGGCGTGGTACGCTCTCACATGTGCTGTGTGAAGTTAAGAGCAGCTGTGTGGGCCTGCTGAGAGTTTTGCCTTCAGAGCAGCACATCTGCTCTTGAACATCTGTGGCCTGGCTGTAGCAAGTTGGGCCCGGAGCTTCAGCAAGCTTTGACAGGTTTTTTCCTTGGTTTCCTGGCAGTCTTACTCAATGAATAGTTTTGTTAAGGCTCCACAGTAATCCCTGCTTGTGGACTCTGCTTTCCACTGGGCACTGTGCTTGTTTGCTTGTTTTTGTGCATGGGGCTTTTCTACATATGCATATATGTATTATGAATCATAAGTATCTAGTGCAGGAGAAATTTCCGTTTCCCTGTATAATGGCTGCTCTGTTTGACATCATATCTAGGGTTCAGTTGGAAATACATTAGTCTCATGTTTTTGTTTCACTAAGCCAATCTACAGCAGGGCTTTATAGAAGATGTAGCTTAATGGCAGTTCTGTTATCTGGTTAATTTGTGGAGCACTTATTCAGTTCAGAGGCTGGCAGAGGCTGTACTTTCCAGAGGAGGGTCAGGAGATGGAAGAATTTGGTCATCAAATAAACTAAATTTTAAAAAAACAACACTTCAGCAAATCTGTGCAGCATCAGCCTGTGCTTTCCCTCAAAGTTTGTTGCTGTTCTTGGCTGGGACATGTGACAGGATCCTTTTCTGCTCATTTGTAAACCAGCTTTAGCAATTATTACACTTGGCCTTCCTATCTCCTAATTGGAGCTCTTGGGAGAGCTGTGATCAGCCGCGATAGAAGCAGCTCAGATATCCAGCCCTGGCACAAGTTGTCCTCTCGCCCTTCCTCCCCAGGAGATGACACGATTGTGCAACTTCTCTGCAGTGACAGGGAGCACCTTGCTCCTGTTTACAGGAACTTCACTAAACTGGCTTTTTTGCTTGTTTTTCACTGAAATAGATAATTATCTCAAGATGATATTTTCACAATATAGCTTCAATGATGCCTGGATTCTGGTGTGCCAGTTTCAACATGCTGAAAATCTTGGGCTGTTACATGTGTCCCTTCTTAAGATGTGTGACAGTCACACATACTGATCTAATGTGTTCTGATCCCTCACAGCTCCTGCCGGGAAGTATCCAAATGGCTTTAGAGATGTGTTGAGAGAGCTTATCCGAGAGGAAGGAGTTGCATCTCTGTATAAGGGCTTCACAGCCGTAATGATCAGGGCATTTCCCGCTAATGCGGTAAGTAAATCATGATTCCAGGTGGGTTTCATGGACCTGGCCACTCAGAGTGACTATTTGCAGCTACAGAGAGGACTTGCTGCTTGCTCCTGTACCATTTCAGTGAGAATCTCTGTACTGCCAGTGCTTTTTGGCTGTGGGTGTCCAGGTTCTAAAATGTACCTTAGTCAAGGGACAGCATCAACTAAACCTCCATTCAGAGCTTCACATGGAAGTCTGGCTTGATATGGCAGAAGCTGTTGACTCGCTCTGATAGTGTTTCATGTCTGATTACACATCCACCGGTATTAGACAGAAGTGTGAAGATGTTTGGACTGGCTTCCCATTCAGTAAATAACGAACCTAAGGGATTAGTTCTGTCTTTGTATGGAAGAATATAGCAGTAATATTACCTCTGCTCCAATCCTTTTTTATTTTTTTAATTTCCTTTCTCCTTCCACATTAACCATACTGCTGCATTTCAAGTATGTTGGATGGAATAGATTTTTACAGCCTGTACTTGTTCTATGTGTTCTCTCTTTTCCAGGCCTGTTTCCTTGGTTTTGAAGTTGCTATGAAGTTTCTTAATTGGATTGCACCAGGTCTATGAAGACTAGGAAGTCTTTGGATATTCAAGATGAGAAGGAAGAGAGCGCGAGTGTGCCTCGGAGGAATAAAAGAATGATCACTTGAAGTTCCAAGAATGATTACTTATCTAATACCTTTTTGCCTTCTTCACGTTCTTTAGGTGGTGCTATGTGCCACTCAGAAATAGAAGCCATAACTCTGATGTAGAGGTGGTCAGGAGTTTGAGGTGATGCACCTGATTTCTGAGCCAAAGTACCACAGCAGTAATGCTGCAAGTACATGACTATCACTATTACACCCTTCCCTAAGTACTTCCTCATGGAAGAAGGGGAGAGTTCTTACTCTTTTAATTCTTTATTTACTGAAGAATCATATAGCAATTAATGCTGAAAAACTTGCATTAAAAAAATAGTCAGTGTTTACTTAATTCTCAGGGCACAAGCTCACAGCTGCACGTATCTACAAGCGATGTCAAATAGCATCCCATCCCTTGTAGCTGTTTACTTGTGGCTGTCAACATGTTCACTGTGGTTTTAATCTTATGTGCATGTAATGCAACACATGGAACTAAGCAGGTGAGGCCAGAATAATGTTTTAGTGCACTGAGAGGTAGTACAAAACATAGGATGTTCACCTTCTTTTTGGTGGAACTAAGAAAAAAATTAATTATGCTTAAATGTGTTCACTACACTATACTGAGGCAGTCAGTGGGGAAATGTGTTTGATTCACCTGATCTCATCTTTTGTCTGAAATTCTTTTGTCTTGCTGTTCCAGTGAATAAAAGGGATGGGTATCTCAAATGCAATTTACAGGTGTAGCATGATGGATAGCAACCCACACTGTATTTAATTAATCATATGATTTGGAGCTCAGTACCTGATCTAGGAAATTTCAAGAGGACTTCTAAGAACTCAATTTCTTAAGTACATGAGGGGGATGCGTAGGGGACACCAGCTCTGCATCCTGTTTGCCTTTATTCTCATCCTGCTCCTTGGTTTTCTTTTAATATTAAGCATAATCCATTTTCTTTTGAGAAATGACTAATGCTAAGGAGCAAAAAGCCACTTTAATTTGTTCTGGTTATGATGCAGTATTGTCAGAACCCAATAAAGCTACCTGCTGCTTGGCTAGAACGTGTGCTTTACTTTATTTACTTTGTGCATGGTTGTGCATGGTTGGTTCTGCACAAGTTTTCCGATTCTTAATTCTGAGTTGTGAATGTGAAATAAGCTGTGTCATGCTGTCTTTAGCTGTTAATCCCTTGCCTTTTAGCTTTCACATCTCCTGTTCTCTGACACGAGCCGTGGAAATGAACGTTTCACACTAAAAACACATCCTGCCTGTGGAAAGCAAGTATTTTGTGTTGCAAACAGCGGCTTGAACACTGTTGGGGGGGAGCTTAGGGAAAGGATCTGTCCAGATGCCCCACAAAAAAGGAATGTGACAGTTGTTTTCAGCTTGCCATGACCTGGTGGTCCATACCATAAAGTAGACTTCACCTTTGCTCCCTCTAGGGCCATTCCTAAAGATATACTACCAGATGCTACTGCAGGAGTCTTGAATCCCATTCTCTTTCCTAGTCCTTTGGAAGGACCAGAAGAGAACCTGCCTTAATCAGAGTCCGTGTTTTGTTTACAGGGCCCCATGGGGCAGCCCCCAGCATGGGAAAAGCTCGGACTCTTCAGGCTGCCTTGGTCTTGTTCACGCTTCCTTCACCAGCCACCAGTCCTGCTTCTTGAAACCATCACAGCTATGGGTGAATAGCTCAGGGCAGGAACACACACTTCGTACTGGCCCAGAGAAGTGGTGATCCTAGGGCACTAACTTCACAGATGGTTTTAATCAGAATTCTTGGTTTGCTGAGGCTAAATTTGTATTAGTTTTAAGACGACCAGGTCAGCTTTTATGACTGCTTCCTAGCCACCAAATAGTATCCTATGGTGATTTAGTTCCCTAATTACTCTGGTCACTGTTGTGACTTCTGTGCTAGGGCTGGGAAGTGGATCTTTGAAGATTTGAAATGCATTATAAAGCTGGATTATCCTTTTTACTGGCAAATTTCAAAAATAATGACAAGTCTTGAAAGAGACAGACATGTAAACACTGCACCTCTTCTCATAAAATTCCAGATATTGATGCTTAACACAGCCTAACACAGCTGCCCTGTCAATGAATGCATCATGTTGAGCTCCTAATTGCACAGGAAACTAGGAAGAAGTCTAATAATCCTGGTTGTAGACTTGGATCTCTTTGTTTTATTTCTGTTGTTGTTGCAATTGCCCAGCAGATGGTGCCTGCAGCTGCCAGCAGGACACACGGACCCACAGGACCAAAGGGACAGACAGACAAACAACCACCCCAGCTGCTGCTGGTGGGACAGGACGACTTTCCGAATCAGCCTGCAGAATTCCTGTGTCTCTGTCAGGACAGGCAGGTAGTTGGCGGGCAGGAGCCTCTTCTCCCCATCTGTCCTGCTAAAAATGCCAGGGATCCACCGGGCTTGGTGACAACCTGTGCTGAAGTGGTCAGAGACTTCCCCAGTCCCCTGTTCCTCCCTTAGTCTAGAGTGCTGCAGCCTTTAAAAACTTAATTCTTGGAAAATAAATTAGTGATTGATTAGTGCTCTGAATTCAGCTACTTTAATAGGCATTAAAAGCTTAATTCCACGCAGTAGATGAGCAGCTTTCTCCTAACCTGCACGTAGGCCTGTTGCTTGGTGTTCAAGCTCTTATACCCTGGTTGTGCTGTCACCAGCTCAGGCTTAGCCGGCTATAGCCTTAAGCAGCATTTGCTCTGACAGATTAAGAGATTCCCTAGTCTGTCCAGCACTTTCTTGATTGCTAGTAATTCTAAACTGTCTTCCTGCTGCCAAACAATCCTTTTTAATACTTCTCTTTTGTTAGTCCTTCAGATTCTTCTTCCACTTTTAATTATCCTAATTACATTCTCCCTAATCTGAAGTTTTTGCAGAGCTTTGTATTTGGTGCGATAAAATTCTCGGAGTTTAACATGCCTAACTGTGTTTGATGCTTTCAGAAAGTAGTCAAAATAAGGAAGAGGGAAGGTGGGAAGGAGGGGCTGCTTTCCAACAGCAGTGACTGGAAGAAGAAAAGCTTTGCATAAGCCAAAAAAACACATTTACTCATTTGCTAAAAAGCTGCAATCCAAGTCCCTTGGATATTGCTTAAGAAGCTGCTCTTGGCATAGGAATTTGACTAAATCCTTGCTGCCTGGTGTGTGCAATCTCAAAATGAGAGAGCAATTTTAATGCTGTTACAGATTCCAGCACAGAGAGCTCTTGCTTTCGGGAGCCTAGATGTGCATTCAAATGTTATTTTCTAATTACTCAGCCAGGAGCTGAAGGGCATCTCGTGGGAGCTGAGGAACTGTGCATACAGGTTAAGGAGACCAGCAGCAGAGAGGGAGCTGCTCTCAGCAAAGGGCAGTGCTCTCAGCAAAGGACAGCATTTGTCTTATGCTCCTTGTGGCCATAGCACCTTCTTCAGCTACATCCAAACCAGCAGAGATCCAGCAAATTCCTGCACTGTACATCCAGGACCATCCTGCTTCTAAGCAAGTCGGGTTGATCAGGGCATGGTTCCCACATTGTAGATCCATGGTGACTACTCCCGATCACCTTCTTATCTTTCATACATCTGGAAAAGATTTCCAGGAGTTACTCCACCACCTATCCCAGGGTTGAGGTGCGGCTGACTGCTCTGTTCTTCCTCTGCTCTTCCTTTTTGACCTTTTTGGAGATAGGAGGGACATTTGCTTTCTTCCAGGCCTCAGGAACATCTGAGTGTGGCCTCACGACGCCCTCCAGCCTCCCCAGCACTTGTGGGTGCCTCTCTTCAGGGTCCAAGGACTTGTGTGTGTCCAGTTTGCTTAAATACTCCCTAACCTGGCCCTCCTGTCCTGAGGGTAAGTCTTCGTTGCTCCAAAGCTTCCCACTGGTCTCAGCGGCCTGGGATTCCTGAGGACGTTCCTGCCAGCCGCGGTAAAACAACTACCCACAGTAAAGTGGTAACCAGTCGTCTGAAGCAAAAATATCTTCCACCATGGCCAGAATCTCCTCCCCGAGGGCGCTGCGGCCGCCTCGGGCCTGCTCTGCGAGACGGTTCTTATCTCGACTTCCCAGTTGCAGGACGCTGTGCTTGTCAGTGCAGAGCAGCAACAAAAACGGGCGCCGAGTCGGCGAGAGGCGGCACCGGAGGCCTGGTGTCCTCCAAAGGGCCGTGGCAGCTTCACTGCTCTGTCCGAGCTGGATCCACAGCCCCGTGTTTGCTGCACTTCGTCCTTCCGTCCATGGGGCCGTGCCCTGAGAAGACAACCCCGTGGTGGGGTGGGCTGCAGGGCAGGAAAACCAGCCCGGTGCTGTGTGCTTAAAGTGGATGAACATTGCCAATTTGGGGCCATTTAAGTAAAACTGGGCACCCCTTTCACTACCTCAACATTTTAAAGTAGTTCTCAACATGTTACAGCATATCTCAAAGCTGCTGCAAATATAAACCGTCTTTAACAGTGGATGGATAGGCTTTTTACTAACATCAATCCGTGATTTCAGGCGGTTTTGTTTAAGAAGCTAATAATGCATAGGTTCCCCCCAGGCTTCCTGGAAGCATGGCAATAAAGATCATTATCAAAGCTGCAGCAATAGGCTATAGATCGGCTTTGCTTCCCCTGCAGATGACAGTGCGGATGTAGATCTGCTAAAACACATGGTGCTGTTGCTAACTCTACGTATTACTGACAGAAAGATTAAAATATTTATCTGTGCAATGAGCTCTCTTCCCTTCTTTATCAGAGAATTGAGTCCAGGATCATCTAGGAATGTTACTGCTCTGAGTTTGAGGGAAGTTGCAAATAAACTAGCAAAAAGTAAGCAAATATTAAGCAGCTTTGTACATCAATGCTGAAAACACCATAGAGGCTATTTTTTTTCCTGTTATTTCCTCAGAGTTATCTGTTACTGGCAGATGTTTGCCTCTTCCTCTCCCCACTCTCATAATATAAGAATTCTAAACTTTTATTTAGCCTTGAACCTTTTTCTCTCTGTCCTAGTAGACCAATGGTGAGGGAATTGGTTTTTATCCCATCTTTATTCCCTGAATAAATTTCAGCAGAACCAGCTGAAACGCCGAAAAGATGCAAAATTGCAGTAAGTCCTGCTCAGGTTAAGCCAATGCAATCGAGAAAAGCCCCTGAGTGCTTGTATAGACAAATCCTAAAAAAAAAAAACTCTTCCCTCTGAAACACGATCCCCCTGGCTTCTCACCCTTGACTCCGTATCAAGCACTGCCAGGCAATTATCTGCTTCGGTTGCTACCTCCAAAGTTCAGGACCTGGCCAAGGAAGGCAGGGAGCATCCTGGAGCCTTTCCAGATGCAGCAGCCCCTGTCCTTATCTTGCAGGCCCTGGCAAGGCTGGATGCCGAAAGCTTTCCCAGCCTCTTCCTCTCGGCTCCACGTGTCTCCACTCGGCACGAGCTGCGTTGGGACAGCAAGGTCCAATTTCCTCCGTGCTGGTGGGGTGACCTGACGTGGTCCTGTCCCCTCCACCTCAGGGAGATGGGCACCTGCCAGCACCCCAGCACGGAATCTTTGCAATGAGCCGTTCCCTTGTGTGCCGACAAGAAAATTGATTTTTTTCCCGTATTCCTGGCTAACTGATAGTCCAGCTAAAAGAATCATCCAGTCCTTGTGTCAGGTGCTGTTTGTTTCAGCCGATTGCAAGGCAGAAGCTCCTGGCGTTCCTCTCACTGACAGTCACAAAAGGAATGAGTTCAATTGCCAATTTTTAGCAGCAATTGCTATGTTTGCAGCAAATTTGACACCTGCTGCTCCACGTTTGACCCCAGCTGCAGGTGAGGCAGGACACGGACCCAAGACCAGTGGAGGCGAGGACAGAAACAGAGGTTTTCTCCCATGCCGCGAGGCTCAAGGCCTTTGAGGA